CTACTATATAATCTATTAGCTAAATCAAAAAGCCCAGAGGCGGCGAGTTGGGGCTTTGCAGTTTCCGCAGATTGGCTGCCTTATGGGGCCTTCGCTCGTATTGCTTGCTCAACACTCCAGTTTTTGGTAGGTCACCAGTGGTAGGTCACCTACACGCCTACGCCTACGCCTAGTAATAATGGATCTTTCGAGGACCCAAAGATCCGATCAACCGACTGTTGGTCCACTTAACCAGCGGTTCGTCACACATCGGTTCTTTTCTGCTCGCTTACTTAACTCTAGAGATAATTCCAATACAATATTCAAATACAATACCAATAGCAATACGGACACGAATTATAGTAAGTAAACCAAATTCGTTTCTAGCAAAACCTGTGCAAAATGCCAAAATGCAACTAAAGTTTTCTTTGGGGATCTCGCCGTTTCCTTTCTTTATACATATGTATCTTCTTGACTTGCTACCATATATATAAAATACACTTAAATGCTAAACAAGTGCAGCCCATTCTTTGGGATGAGGCCGATGACGACCTCAAGCGAACTTAGGTTGGTGTTTATAAAGTTTAAAGAAACTGGGGACCTGGGATAGGTATTACGATAGGTATTTAGGAATTACGAAGAATTGATTTAAGGTTTGTACTTTGGCATGAAATCTTCAACTTAACGAGAACAAACGTGAACAAAAATTCGACTACAACATTGACCATCATCTTTCTCATCTCAGCTTTCTGCGCTTTCAACTCAAAATTCAACTAAGAAATTGATTTAGTGCATCAGGGGACGCAGGTAACTCAGTAAGCAAGTTAGCTAAGGAACGGAAAGGGTATAATCCAAAATCGGGGGACTAGGCTGGGGGAACTAAATAAGTCGTTGCATACTCCACATACAACTCGGGGTGTTCTAAGCTATATCTTCTGATTTAAAAGCTGCGATTAACATGTTCCTACGTCGAGTAAAATATGTACTTTAAGACTCTATCGATGTGACTAAACTGAGGTAGCTGCTAAACTAAGTCGCGATCGGAGGAAACTGGATCGGGAACCAAAGTCGTTGGGTAGTTTCCTACCAGATGCTAAGCAATACATTTCGGTAAAGGTTCTTCTGCTCCTTCTAGTCGGCAGTTTGTCGTCCGGCATTTAGTTATATCTTCGTTATCAATGCAGTTGCAACCGAAAAAATACAGGGTACCAAATAAAATGTGGGGGGAAATAAAACAAAAGACAAATTATTAAAAATATTTCATTTAATCATTTGAAAATTCAACAAAAATTCAATATTAATTGTAGTAATAATAATAGCAGAAAGTAATGTAATTTTTGTCCTTTTTCGTTTTTTATTGAAATACAATTAATTTATTTAGTTTTCCATACGGAGTACGAATAATAATAATAAAAATCAACTAAAATATTCAACTAAATTACATTAAAAGTAGACATTCAAGTTGAATTGCCAAAATGTGTAGGAGAGGAGGAGCGTAGGGGGCGAGGGGGCTTAAACACTGGGCGAGGGATTGATTCCTTGTGGGGATCGGGATCGGGATCATAAGGATTTGTGTATAACATAAAAAGGTACAAAGTATACATATATTACACATTATGAATTAGGCATAAACAAAAGTGTGCTAAGTGTGTATATTTAATTAAACAAAAATTACATTCGGGTAGCAATAAAATCAATCTATAAATTTGGTGGATGGGTTCGGGGGATTACAGAGTGGGTTCCTTTTTTGGGAGTATAATTCCGGAAATATCTGCTGCGCTATATTGCCTTGGCCGGGGAATCGGAGGAGGATCGCGGTTGAAAGTGCCTAAACTTCACCAATTTGTACATTTCGTCATCAGATGATCTGAGAAAGCTCGGAGGGAGCCATCAAAAATTGGTTTTAAGAATTTCGGTTAAAGTTTAAACATTTTGCTGCTGCTACACGGGTTTTGGCATGTTCCAGTAACTGAAGATCGTCAAAAGATCGAAAAAAGGGGTAAAGGCGCGCAAATATTTCATTCGTTTAACATAAAATATAAGTGTGTTTTTATTGAGTAGAAATTATGAACTAAACAAAAACTGCTTTTAATTGTTTATAAATTGATTACTTGATTTAAACGTACATATTTTGTTTTACTTTGCCTTGATTTATCATAGTTTAATATGCATTTAGAAAACATTGTTATTTGTTATTTGTTATTCGTTATTTGTTATTGATTTTGCTAAGGAGGGTAATATAAATTACATTTTAATGTGTTTTACTCTCGCTCAAACGCCATCTCTTCGTCATTCCTTAAAGACTCCTACTATGTTATCCTTTGCCGTCTAGGGTTTACGATTCATTAGAGTTAGTTGTGATCGAAGTCTGACTATTACTGTTTTAGGGCTCTCTACAATTCGATTCTCTCCTTCGTCTTCTTGGTGGCTGAGGTGGGCATAAGTTTGTGTTTCATTTATTTCTCGACTGGACGCCATCGAGGCTTCGTCCTAGCACATTTAACTAAAACAAACACTGAATCAAACTAAAACACGGGCTGACTTACGTAGTAGTTGGTGGTGCGGGTGCTACTGCCTTTTGTCCTTAAAAGGCAGCCTTAGCTTGCGTAGAACTTATTACCAATATAATTTGTAGTGTAGTGTAGTGTAAGGGCTAAAGGTTACTCCAATTAAATATCTATATAACTATATGCTGTATCTGTGTGTGTCGTGTGTCATGTTTTGTGTGGGGTTTGCCTATAAATAAGTTCACTTCCTCTCCTTCCTCCTGCGCGTACATGTATATTAGATTAAAACCTTAAATTTAGACGAAAATTATATATAACTGTGCCAAACCTATATATATCCTCTCAAGTAAATGCCAAAAAGTGTCGCTTGTCGTTAGTTTCTATCAATTTAGTGTAGGTTTAGGTTTAGGTTAGTTAGGTGTAGGTTTATAGGGTATAGGGTATGTACTTATAACTTAACGGTAGTTCTATATAAGTAGGCATAACGAAGTCGTCTCGTTACTGTAGGTTTTGTATACAAAAAAATTTACTATCACTCAGTTTGTCCCTTCATGCTTCTGAAAAAAATGTCGTTAAATTAACGTGTATTATTTGGTATGTAAAATGGCGGCAATGCTAAATGCCCAAAAGGAGGCGCTCAATTTGTGATTACTGGAAAACTGCAGCACATGCAAGTTTAAGATCCCATTCCTGATCCCCAGGGTTTTTGTATTTCAAGCAGGTCCCTCACCAAAAGTCACCAAAGGGGGTAAATCGGGGTTATTGAGGATTTTGGGAAGGGTAACTCACAGATATTTGAGGATGGTTTTAAATTCTTTTGAAAAAATTCCAGGCAATGCCTGATCGAACACAGAAGTATATATTCGAAAATATCACACTGCTGAAAAACTATCCAAAATAATCGGAAACAAGAGATAAACTATAAATCCTTGGAAGGATAATTTCACAGGGGTATAAGCAAATTGGGGGTTGTCACAGTTTGGCTGTCTAATTGGAGGCATTTGGTTTGGGGTTTGGGTTTAGACATTTTCTGAAAATGTTTGTTCTCAACTTGGTTTCACATGGGAGTTTTTTTTGGGCCATGCCTAGTCACAATTTGGTGTGATTTAGAATTTTTCATAAAATTTCGTTCCTTTCGAACACTCACAGTGAAGGTTTTAAAAAGTGTCGAATCTTCTCGCTAACATATGGTTTCCGAAGAGGAATAAGTTTTGGAGAAGATCCGACACTCCGCTCACAGATGATTTGACGAAACTTACGGGGTCTACATTTTAGGGTTCGTAACGAACACGAGGGTTTCGGGGAATGGGGTTATATAACACAGTTCCTGCTGATAGTTTTTTTAAGTTTAGGCTGCCTAAACATTTTCTCACAGAGGGAAGGTTTTACTTTTAATTTCATTAAAATGACTTACAATTTTAAAAGGGGAAAAAAAGAACTCAAAATTTGAAAATCTAACACAGTTTCTGCTGATTTGTTTAACGTTTAGCTGGCCTAAACGTTTCCTTTCACAGACGGTGTCATATCAAAGGGTTTTATTTTCAATTTCATTAAAATTTTCACAGAATTTTAAATTAGAAAATAAATAAAACCAAAACAGAAATTTAACACAGATTCAAGAGTTAAACTGGGTGTCAAGATGGGGGTCATATCAAGTGGGTTTTACTTTCAATTGCATTAAAACTTTCACAGAATTTTTTAAAGAAATATAATTAGTTTTAAGGTTTAGGTTGCCTAAAGTCCTTTCACAGTTGGGATCATATCAGTGGGTTTTATTTTTAATTTTATTAAATCTTCACAGAGTTTTTGAAAAGAATTTAAGTTGGGGAAGGGAGAATATAAAATTGGAGGTGTACAAAAGGTGTCCTAAACTATTTTTCACAGAAGGTATTATATAAAGTTGGTTTTTATTTTCAATTGAATTAAAATTTCACAGATAGGGGATGCCAATCATTTAAAGTTCAGGCTGCCTAAACATATTCACAATTTTGAGAGGGATGGGAACAAGGAGATTGGGAGGGACTTTACCCCAGGGATTTGGTGACTTTTCTAAGCACGGAATAAACACAAAACAGGAAACATTGAACCGCTCTATAAATTGTTGGATGTTTGCTCGCATACCATATTTAAAATTTAGAAAAACCGACCTTACAACCTACTAAACCTATCGATAGTGAGTGCTGCATGTGTGTTTGGTCGCACCTGCGGGGTCGTCACTCTACCTTTAGAGATCCATCACATACGGCTGCTCTGCTATTTAAGACAAAGAGAAGAACCCTAGACATATACAAAGATCGCTATAACCTAACACTTAGCTTAATAATTAATGATCACGCTGCCGCCGAAGTAGTTTTATTATATTTCTTTTTTTTTGAGGACTTAACTAAGAGAGTTTGGGGGCGTGGGTGGGGGTGGGCTGCTTGAAATACTCCTGAAAGGGGGTTGTAAAAATGGTGACCTTGTTGCATGTGCCGCCTGGCTGCTATGAGTGTGTGTGAGTGGGTGGGTTATTAAGGGGTTGAATTACTCTGAGGACCTAACTGAACTGTTCTGAACTGGAGGGAGAAACTTAATCGGCTCTAGAGGTTCTCGTTTCGCTTACTAAAACTAGAATAATTACCAATCGCTTAGGTAAAGATGTGCAACTTATCGTTTATGTTGTTTTGTTAAATTTAGGTTTTGTAATTTTACGTTTCATAAATTGTAGCAAATGTTTCATGTTCTCCCCTTCTTTTTTAACTCTCCTACTCTACTCCTTCTCCTTTTTTGCTTTTCATCCTTTTTGTGTTATTGAGCAGCACAGCAATTATCATGATTTGTTTAAACAATTTATGCCCTGCCTTCAATTTTTGCTAAATAAAACTTGTCCCTCAATCGTGATGTAAATGTGTTTCTTTTTTTGTCCCTCTTTCCTCGTTTTCCTTTTTTTTTTGTTTTACATTTCGCTTTGTTTTTTTTTGGTAAAATGTATAAAATTTGCTTTATAAAATAAAACTAAAAATTGCTTCTTCTTTTTTTTGTTTAGGTAGGTGTGTAAACAAAGAACTAAAAAAACTCAACAAAAATAACAAGAAAATTGTTTTTAGTTTGCATTGTTTTCTCTCGGTTTTAAGATGTGTGTGTGATTGTATAAAAATCAAATGATTTTAAAAACTAAAATTTTCGCTTCTCCACCTTCTCCTGCTTACTCTTTTTCGATATTCTTTTTTTTTTGTTTGATAAATTTAGCTAGAGTAACAAATGCTGCAGGCTTTGCTTTTAGTTCATGTTGAGATAGTCGTTGAAGAGCTGCATGCAGGCAGCGGCGCCTCCAGTGGGCTCCTCATTGTACAGCTGACTGGCGTACTCGGGAAACCTCCAGATATTGGCCGCCTCCAGGAGTTCCCCGGCGGAGGAGGAGGAGTTCGAGCTGACATCCGAGGCGGAGGCATCGACTTTTGGCCTGCTGGCTGCTGTTATTATCCTGACTGATGCTCAGGTTGCACAGGAGATCGGTGAAGATGTCGTGGCTGCTGGCCGGTGTCCTCTGGCCAGCCGATGATCCTGATCCCGGGCAGCTCCCAGATATTGGGCTTGCCATAGTGCGAGGCACTCCAGCCGTTCGAGGAGGAACTGGAGCTGGTCAACGAGGCTGTGGGCGAGGCTGCGTGTGCGGGGTGCACCGTCTGATTGTGCTGCTGCTGCTGCTGCTGTTGCAACTCCTTGAATCCATCCCTGAGTGTTGCTGCTGCTGACGCTGCATTTTGCGGGGAACTCTGGGCCGCCGCCCACAGCATCATCTTGGAGCCATCGTTGCCATGACTGCTGGCCGTCGGACTCAACGAGGGCTGCGATCCACTGCCCGAGGAGCAGCCGCTGCTGCTGCTGGAGCAGCCCCACAGGGCCGAGATGGCATCGCTCTGGCCCCAAGTGGGCTGCATCTTGCTGCCTGGATTGCTGGCTGAATTATGGCTAATGATTAAGTTACTAATACTGCTGCTGCTGCTTATGCTGTTGTTTGTGTTTGTGTTGCTGTTGGTCAATAGAAGGCCCTCGAGTCCTTTCTGTGTTGCATGTTGCTGCTGTGGCGGCTGGTTGTGTTGCTGCTGGCGCTGTTGCTGCTGTTGTTGCTGTTGCTGCTGCTGTTGCTGGTACTTGCTCATCACATCCGCCATGGCCATCATGTTCATGGTTTTATGAGACTGCTGAGGGAAGTTGGCCCTTTGAAATGAGCTAACCGCAGGCTGATGTTGCTGTTGAGTCGGCTGCTGCTGTTGCTGCTGTTGTTGCTGCTGTGTTGCTGCTGTTGTTTGGGGTTGCTGCTGCTGCTGTCGCACCTGCTGCTGATGCTGCTGGGCATGCGGATGGGCTCCAATCAAGTCCGGATTAATCTGCTGCTGCAGCGGTGCCGAATAATCGATGGCGGCATTGTAGAGCGGGCTGCTTCGCTGGCGGCTGCTTGTTCGAGTTCGATGAGATGATGGTGTTGTTGCTGCTGCAGCCGGAGGCCGTTGGAGCGCCCTGGGCATTTGGCACCTGGGTGGCGGTGGCACCTGTTCCCACGGGCGACTCCAACGGGGCCTCATGTTATGCGAGCGTCGGCAGCCGCGCCGCCGGGGCTCTTGGCGTAGCAGAAGCTCAGCGGCTTCACGAAGTGCGTGTCCTGCGTGTTGCAATATGGGCAGGTCACCCCGTGCGAGTAGTCACTGTAGAAGCTCAGACGCTGCTGCGGATGCATCAGCATCTTGAAGCAGTTATTGCACTGGAAAGGCAAGAAAAAGATGGGGAATGGGAAAAATTAAAATGATTTTCATGCAAATATGTTGGTAAATAGGGATATAATGTTTTATAATCAATAATTAAGGTCAAATTTAAATTATGGTTAGATTATTTTAATGCAGCTGTCGGCAGATTTCTAAGGTTTAGACATAGGAGATAGTGTAGATAATTCTATGCCGATACACGCACAGTATACAACTGCAGTCGACAGGTAATCAGTCTTTTCATGGGTTATTTAGTGAAATTTAATAGCATGTAATGGTTGGTTAACTCACCTTGAACCTCTCGGAGCAGCAGGGCATGGCCGCAAAGATGTCGTAGGCGTACATGGTGCCCAGAACCAGGCTCGAGCCATCCCACGGCTCCTTGCAGAATCTGTGAACGATGCAGAAACACACAATTTATCATTTATTTATGCATTTATTACAGGCCTTTCCCTTTGATGATGCTCACCTGCAGTTGATGACGCGGCTGCTGGAGGTTCCGTCCAGGCAGCTCATGCAAACACAGGTCAAGTAGAGAGTGCGTCCCTCGTATTTAACCTGCAGAAATAAAATAAAAAGAGAATTGGAGTCAGGGTGTGAGAAAGCGGAAGCGGTGAAAAAGGTGCAGACAAAAGGACAAAAAGGGGCAGGACCCAGCCGCATAATTCAAGCAGGAGCCAGGGGCCACCAAACCAGACACTCGCCACAATGAAAAATTATGGCAGGAAAAAGAATGAATTGCAAGGGCGACTTCTAAGCCCCTGAACACACTATGCCAAATTTGAGGATATACCTTTGTGTTAGCCAAAAGACTTTGCATAAATAATTGGGTTTCTTTGGGGTATTAAAGTTAAGACCTTAGTTTTGATTGAGGGCTCTGAATAATGTTAAAAAACTTTTTTTTAATATTCCAACAATTGTCAGGCTTAAAATAGTTAGATAACACAAGGTATCTTGTAGCTATCAAAACTAAGAGTTAAATTTTAATACAAAATGTTCAAGTACAAAATGTATAGAAAACATGTAAGGGCTTATGCCTTACTTTTAAAAAATCCCTCACTAAAGTAATGAGTAATCCCTGAAAACGCTCTGTAGGCAAACAGACTACCAAAGATCCTTTTGTGAGACAGTTTTCTTTTTGCTAACAAACTTACAAAGGTATTATATATATTTTTTCCTATTTAAATACCCTTCAAAGCCTTGGCAAGGCAAATAAACCGCCAGTTAGCAAACGGCTTCTATTGTTAGGGTATCAACTTTCCTCTTTCCGTGAAAGGGCGAGGAAGCGAGGGGATTTTTCCCAGAGAATTGAGCGCATTCTTGCATGCCTCCCGACAAAAGGCCCAGGACTCGGAGGGAAAAGGGGAGAAAGTGGAGGAGCTGCCATTGCGACGCGACATAATAATTTCAAATAAAATGCAAAATGCATAAACTTGCCCAGGAGATTGCCGTTGGCCGCCCACGAACAGAAGACTGCGGAATCGCAGTACCGAAGTCAAAGTCAAGGGAGCAGAGGCACATACAAAGGAGCCAATTCCGATTGCAGCAGCAGCAGCTGGCAATGAATTATAAATCCAGGCTTAATTTAAAGCCCCCAGAAGTCGGGGGAAAAGGGGGATACAGCGAGACTGACAGGCGGCTAGGGAAAAGGCAGGGAAATCGGGGAAAATATAAAGCCATGGAAGCGTAGGTCGTGCGTGTACTACCTCTATATGAGAAATGCAAAATGTGCAAGCTGCAAACTGCAAACTGCCAACTGCAGTTTTGCCCCGGCTCTTCTTTGGGGCGCTGGCGTAATTACGCTGACTTAAATGGGTCATAAATTGCGGGGTCTGTCTGTCCCCAGAAAAAATGGGAAAAAAATACGGAAAATAGGAGTGGCTGGCGGTCGGAGGCGACTCGAAATGAAGGAGATGGAGTAGTGTGCCCCGCTAATTGCAGCTGAAAGTTCTCGGGGGCACGTGGGCGAGTGAAAGCTGCGTGTCGTGGGTGTGGAAGAGGTTGCCATGCCACATTTGACGTTTAATAAATGATGAGTACACAGAAAGAAAACTATAACTAAGGTAGTCACAGAAGAATATTTAAATTAATTAATAAATATTTTTTTCTTATATTTCGGATAAAAATTAAGTTTAGGAAATCTGTTTCGTGCTACTGTATCCCTATAAATTATAATAAAATGTATCCTAATTTTTTCTAAGTATAGGACTTGGGTTAAAGATTTGCTAGATCGGTACTCACCTCGATGCAGCCGCTGGAATGCTGCTTGGGACTCAGGAAGAAGGAGCCATCGACCAGGGGATAGCGATCGAAAACGAGCAGCGGCTCCTCGCACAAAATGCAGGCCACCCGGCTCATCTGGGATGGGCCAGCGAGGAGAGGATGAAGAGGCGCGTCTCATCGTTGCCATGGTTGCCCTCGTCCTCGATCTGGAAAAATAAATAAATATTTGTATTTCAATTTGAAATATTTTAAAAGGTATAATCTTAGAAAACACATCTCTATCTCGTCCCAAAAATAATAAGCAGATATAAAGTAGGGAAGAAAAATACCGAAATAAAGTTCGTTTACCCTAAAACCACCGAATTCCAACTCGAAGCCGGTGGTCCAATGAACATTTCCAATATATGTCTGCCGAGGGACTAAACGAGGCAACCAGCCAGCGTCTAGCGCCAACAAATGAACCATAAAATCCAAACGTGCCAGGGAAAACAGAGCGGGTAACTCTCCGCTCCGTGTTGTCTAAGCCAAAGTGGCTAACACGTTGCCCAAATTGAATGCACACAGGACAGCCAGGTGTATATGTAGGTGTATAGCCAAGTTAAGTCAGTCAGCCAAACAACAGTCCAGGCCAATTCCCAAATCGATAATCAATATGGCGAGCCGGCAGATGGACTCAAACCAGCACATTTTCCTTACCCACCTGGTAATAAAGCCGTCAAAAAGCCAAAAGGTGTTGAAAGGATCCACGGAATATATGACTAAAGTGGGAATAGTTCGGGCCACCGCCAATCAGAGCCAACTAACCCAATGATGAGGGAATATTTGTGACTCTGTTTGGGTAATTGACGATGGTCCGGCACCTGACCAGACGGAAATAACAGCACTCCGACTTACAGAGATGGGAGGTGGGTTCCGACCAGGCTGAATAATTTACTAGAGAATAACATTCGAATGTATCGAATTAAGGCAAAGGACACGTAGTACCAATCAATTGCAGCCGAGGAATGTATTTCTGGGACAGGTTTAATGCACTTTTAATATGGCTTGAAACCCCTCGGCAACTCTTGCCAATATTTACCCAGAACGTTTGTGTTCCAACGGAGATGACACTCTTTTCTATCGGTCCCGCCTCTCGAGCTAAATAATCAACAAATTAATATTTGCACGGGGCCCACATTGCAATGTTTGTATGTTTGCCAACTTCTTGGGGGACCCGAGAGCTCATAAATCTTGGCAACAATAAAATCAACTCCCAACATTGTTCGCAAACAACGGATTCGATTAATGAATGTTTGCATGCCCGAAAAAGCAGAATAGCAGGGGAAAATTGGAAGAGAATTTCCCCGCGTAAGCGATACGAGGCACAATTTTCACTCATTAAACAAAAGAAGAATCCCGGCAGAGAATCTCGGGGTGAGTTGCTAAAGCAATTAAGTTGATTGCTCAAGGAGAATGTGCGTATCTGTGGGTGAGTGGTGCTTGTCTGGGATTACGGACAATAACAATAGCCCAGATAGCACAGGCAACTCAAATGCAGCAATAATCTTTTTCTTCTTCTCTACCGCTCTTTGCAATGCCAAAAAATGAAATAAAAGCATGCAGACGCACATGTACCGCAAATTCCATCAAACCATGGCCTTATATTTGGCTGTTTTTCTCTAGGTTTTCGCTACACAGGAAAAAATAGTTGAAATTGTATAAAATTGTATTTTGATTCCTCAAAAATAATAAAGTAATTTTAAAACGTTTTCTTCGTTATGTATCTGATGTTTTCTAACTCCCGCATCTCTGCCGACACACGTACAGTATACACCTACATTTACTATAAGTAATAACATAATTTTCAAACATTACAGGTATAATCTTTCCTTTCATCCTTAATATGCAGCAGGGTTATTAACTGCCGCCTCTCTGCCGACACATGCACAGTATACACCTACATTTACTATAAGTAATAACATAAATTTTAAACATTATAGTTATAATCTTTCTATGTATCCTTAATTCACAGGAATATTTTAGTCTGCAGCCTCTCTGCCGACACACGCACAGTATACACACATAAACCTAAATTTAAATTTTATTTGAACACTAAAAAATATCGACTTGCTTTATAGTATCACCGACTTTTTTCTCTGTTGGAGCCATAAATATTTTCCCTCTTCTTGTTGGCTACGTGACGATTTGCTAATTTCATCTGCGCTCAGTTGAGTTCTTCTGAGATGACGGTCGTTGGCCAAAAACAGAGAATGAACTCCGAGACGGGGCCAAAGGATTGAGGACCTCCGCTCCTCTTCATAATTTATGAGAGTCGCGTGTGCAAAGTTTTGGCAAACCGCATCGGGGAACTTGAACAAATTATAAGCATGAAATTATTATTGCCAAAATTTGAGATTATCTTCTGGTGAGCGCAACAACTTTTCATGGCCCCATGGCAGAAGTCAAAAGTCGAAGTGCAATAAACTCCCGACACTTTCTCGAACTGAAGGCTTTATCCAGGACTCTATCGGAGGACACTAATGAAGCCATTGAGTTGTCACTTCCCTTGGACGCATAAATCAGGCAGCACTTCCTCTCGACCATAATAAATATCAACACCCAAACTCACTGGGGCCACAAATCAAAAAGGTTTTCGCTCGCCACACCCCAAAAACCAAGAGACCAAAGACAATGGGCTCTAGAAACTACTACAATTCAATTGAATTCGAATTCGATTCTCTTTAGTTTGGCCTCAAAGTGCTGTGCTTTTCATAAACACATTAAATTAAATGGCATTTCTTGGCTTAAGTGCTGACGGAAGTCGAGAGAGCTACTACTTCTACTAATCCATTAAAAATGCCAGCCATAAATATTTCATCCACAGAATTTTCCTGCCACACCACCTCCACTTTTTTTTGGCTTCTTTAAGCTTTTTGCAAAAGTTAATAAAAGTGTTTAATATTCCAATTTGGCTTTGTGAGTTTTCGCCGAGTGTTTGTGCAGACAGTAAGCAAACATGTGAGCCTCCAATTTCCCCATCCATCGCCTCAGTTACCTTTTTCTATCAGCTTAAAGAGCAGGAAAATTCCTCATTAGTCAACGTGGGCGTAACTGCGAGGAAAAACTATTTTATTAACCCGGAAAAACTGTTTGTTCTCAATTGTCAATCGCGTGTGTGTGGGGAAATTGAAAAATTGTCTGCGCTTTAAATGGTTTTTCCGCATTCGAAGAACCGTAGGCGTTTTTGCCACACGAAAGACAAAAGAAATGGCAGAATAAATTTGAAATTGTCATCGGCCGAACTGACAGTCCTCGTGGCTGTGTGCGGCAAAGTGGGCGTGGTGCTAGGTGCTTAATTTAAGCAGCGGAATAAGTTGGCTGTCTCCCCAGCAAGACACTTTGATCAATGGGCCAGATGTGACCTGTGGATTAGGAGTTAAAGCCAATGACAAGCCAGCAACAATGGCAAACAACAGCGTCTCCTCCAACCAGCAAGACAAATACAAAATACCAAATACAAAACACAAGACACTGACAATGAAATGAAATTGCAGTTGCTAAATCCCGAAGAGGGGGCAGCAGCACTTTTATAAATGAAATGGAGTAATAATATTTTGCGACAACAAATGCAGCAAATAACAACAAGAAAAACATAGCATACCGCCAGGCGCAGCTGTGCAGGATATCCTAGGAAATATAAACAGGAGGCGTGGAAAATTAGAGGGCGGTGAAAAACGCCAGCAACAATGCAGCCAGGCAACAGTTACACAGAGAAAATATAAGGAAAAACCTTTAGCTAAATATAAATATTCATTTCTAACCAAAAAAAGATTTTATATATATAAAAATAAAAGAGAATTTTTTTGGAAAGGTCGCTCTGCCGCGTATTATGTTTGGCGTACAAATGTTTGATCAAAAACCGAAATTCGGGAAAGGTTCAAAGAGAATAATATGCAAATTTAAAACATTCCTACAAATTTTAAATTAATTAAACACGATTGTAACCTTTTTTTTTTCTCTGTACCTTTGAGCATTGCAGACAAACAAACATTTCAATAAATTCAAAAAGTACCAAGCCAGACAATGAAAACTGCAGCGAAACGGAGGGAAAACAAGCAAAAGGAGTGCCAGGAGCCAAGTCAAAGGGAAAAGTCGACGGGGAAAAGCTGGGGGACGCACTGCACTCTGTAGTACAACTGTGAAGTGGCTTAAAAGCTTGTCGAGGGGTTGCAACTCCTAAGAGGCAGCTGCTATTCGCATTGTTTTCCCCCTGAAAATCTCATGTCATTTGCACTTAATTCAAATGCGCGACACAATTGCAAAATAAAAGTACACAAAAAATAATAACAGAGGGGCAGGGAGGAGGAAGAAAGAGCTTTGCATATCTAGTCAGGGTTTGTCTGGGTTATAACTTCATTAGGCGGCGCAGTGGAAATGTTTTTTTGATAAGCTGCGTTCGCTTTTTGGCGAGTTCAAAAAACTTTTTGCCCCCATCTCAAACTCTTGGCCATATCCTGTGCCAAGTTTTTGATGTCCCCCTGTCATAAGCAAAATTTTCCTTTCACTGGAAGCGATCCAAAAACAAATTTTAATTTCTCCGCCCTCCAATATATGTTCGTATTTTTGCATCTTTGCATTTGCCATTAGCCAAATGCTTTTGATGGCCCTAAGCTGCTCTTGGCCGGTTAGTATCCTTCTGACCTTTAAATATCAATTTGCAAATAAATTGTGTTTGGCCCTTGTGTTGCCATAGACTGGACTTTGGGTCCCTCGTTATTTATCGTGCGTTCAATGTGCTGTGGCATAATGGCTTTCTTCGATTGGCCAAGAAGAGGGCTTTATGTATAAGGCAAAAGCCAAAAACAAATGCAATTTCCAATTTCATTTTTCTCCGAGCAAGAAGCGCCTCGAAGCATGCTTTTGCCTTTTTATTCGCAGTTTATTGAACTGCATCCCGCCGCGAGGCTCCTTTCCCTTTTTTTTTACATTTTTCCTTGGCTTGTCCTCCACTTTAAACTTTATTCTCGGGCATAACAATTATTTCGATATGAAAAGCAAATTTCAAAGGCATCTCCCAGACATTCGCCAGACACTGATGGTTATTGGATCCGCATACTCCAAAACGCCCCCGCATTTTTCGCACTAAGCAAGCAATTTAAATGCATTCGGTGGCAGTTAATAGTTTTATTATGGTGCTCTTGTTAAACTTAATTGTTTAATTATTTTT